AGATAATGTGTGAGAGTGAGAGAGAGGTTTTGTTTTTTTTGTTTTTTGGGCTGATCGTGATCACCTATACTGATCTTTTTGAAGCCTTCTTTTTGCACAATAGCTCACACACAGCACAAGTCTGATTTGGTGAGCTGCATGTGAGGCGGCCTCATGCCAGGTTCACACATACTCCGTGTGCAGTGCGTGTGCAGTGCGTGTGCAGTCTGTGTGCAGTGCGTGTGCAGTCTGTGTGCGATGTAAGCGGTGCAGAAGCAGCACAGACTTGTGCTTTCACACAGAGGTCCACTACTGATCCGCGGCTGTTTTTTGTTACTGAAAATGCTTTTTGAGCATTGTGATTCTGTTTTTACACAGTACAGTAATGCAGTCTTTCACAGACGTGTTTAAATGTAACCGATATAATCAAGAGTATGTGTGAACCTGGCGTCATGTGTGCGCTGCGAGTGTGCATGAGCGCACCGTCTCCAGGAGAGCACACAAGTGCTGAATGGTTTAAACACTGGCAAGAATAAAAAAGAAATGAAAATGATAAACTTTAGTGACAATGCAACACTGCCTCGATTGTGCAAGTGACAATTCCTGTGTGAACTGTGCAGCTCGCTTATAGTGCAGACGCGATGTGCTGATCTGAAGCCATTTGCGCATTTAGAGAGGGCTAGAGAGAGCGCGGTGATCCACTCACACTGTTTGTGAAATTACGCCTCACAGAAAGTTTTCAAATCACTTTGTAAGTGAGATCGGCCTTTATAGAGACCGCCGATCAAACTTCCCAAGCCATTATCGGCCGATCAATCGGAGCAGCCCTAGTTTAGAGGTTTGAGCTTATCATTGTACATTTCATGAAACCTGTGGCTCTATATGTGAAGCTTTGTCTGATTATCCCAGGACTCCATCCGGACTCATTAGACAGCTGTGGTCTGTCGGTGTGTTTGTGAAGAGGAAGGTGTGACACAGGTGTGGCAGCAGCTCTCACACACACACACACACACACATGAAAGTGCTGAGAACATCTGAACGATGAAGCTGCTGCTGCTGAGAGGAGTTTCATCTCTGATTGACTCGCAGTGACAGCAGGTCTGGCTCTGTGGATGAACACAGTGATCATGTGCTTCTCTTTCTCCTCCTGCTCTCTCACAAACACGCTGCTGTCTAATTACTGCAGCCGTTATTTCCAGACTGTCTGCACGCAACATTTTTGGACACAGACAGAAAACAATGTCATTATTGACCATGTCTGTTTCTGATGTCTGATTACGACAGGTCTCGCTCTATTCTCCAGGACAGTAGATAATGCAGTAGATAGCGGTCCAGTTTTGAAACCAATTATAATACTAAATTATATGCAATATATGACATTAAAGAAAATCTAATCTCAGGGTTTGATTGAGTGGTTGTGTTTGTGCAGGTACAAGCGTGTTTTCTCCGTGGGAACTCATGGCATCACCACATACAATCCCACCACACTAGAAGTGACTAACCAGGTACTGCATTTCACCTGTGTGCTCCGACTCAAGTCTGCTGTGATGTGTGCTTACAGTACAATATGTGTGCATGTGTCATTTACATAATTATAATTATAAAATAAATAATAATAGTGATGTATTATGTTTTATGTTTGTATTAAATATAAATGTATTTTTGTTTTATATTATTGATGACAATTATATTTGTTGTTTTCATTATTGTTATTTATGATAATGGTAATACAAATTATTATTATTGATAATAATAATAATAATAATAATAATGATATTATTAATATGATCTGTTGCTGTTATATTAATAACATTAACAACTCTTGTTGTTATGCAAACAAAACCTCTGGTGTGCAGTCTGTGTGCAGTGCGTGTGCAGTCTGTGTGCGATGTAAGCGGTGCAGAAGCAGCACAGACTTGTGCTTTCACACAGAGGTCCACTACTGATCCGCGGCTGTTTTTTGTTACTGAAAATGCTTTTTGAGCATTGTGATTCTGTTTTTACACAGTACAGTAATGCAGTCTTTCACAGACGTGTTTAAATGTAACCGATATAATCAAGAGTATGTGTGAACCTGGCGTCATGTGTGCGCTGCGAGTGTGCATGAGCGCACCGTCTCCAGGAGAGCACACAAGTGCTGAATGGTTTAAACACTGGCAAGAATAAAAAAGAAATGAAAATGATAAACTTTAGTGACAATGCAACACTGCCTCGATTGTGCAAGTGACAATTCCTGTGTGAACTGTGCAGCTCGCTTATAGTGCAGACGCGATGTGCTGATCTGAAGCCATTTGCGCATTTAGAGAGGGCTAGAGAGAGCGCGGTGATCCACTCACACTGTTTGTGAAATTACGCCTCACAGAAAGTTTTCAAATCACTTTGTAAGTGAGATCGGCCTTTATAGAGACCGCCGATCAAACTTCCCAAGCCATTATCGGCCGATCAATCGGAGCAGCCCTAGTTTAGAGGTTTGAGCTTATCATTGTACATTTCATGAAACCTGTGGCTCTATATGTGAAGCTTTGTCTGATTATCCCAGGACTCCATCCGGACTCATTAGACAGCTGTGGTCTGTCGGTGTGTTTGTGAAGAGGAAGGTGTGACACAGGTGTGGCAGCAGCTCTCACACACACACACACACACACATGAAAGTGCTGAGAACATCTGAACGATGAAGCTGCTGCTGCTGAGAGGAGTTTCATCTCTGATTGACTCGCAGTGACAGCAGGTCTGGCTCTGTGGATGAACACAGTGATCATGTGCTTCTCTTTCTCCTCCTGCTCTCTCACAAACACGCTGCTGTCTAATTACTGCAGCCGTTATTTCCAGACTGTCTGCACGCAACATTTTTGGACACAGACAGAAAACAATGTCATTATTGACCATGTCTGTTTCTGATGTCTGATTACGACAGGTCTCGCTCTATTCTCCAGGACAGTAGATAATGCAGTAGATAGCGGTCCAGTTTTGAAACCAATTATAATACTAAATTATATGCAATATATGACATTAAAGAAAATCTAATCTCAGGGTTTGATTGAGTGGTTGTGTTTGTGCAGGTACAAGCGTGTTTTCTCCGTGGGAACTCATGGCATCACCACATACAATCCCACCACACTAGAAGTGACTAACCAGGTACTGCATTTCACCTGTGTGCTCCGACTCAAGTCTGCTGTGATGTGTGCTTACAGTACAATATGTGTGCATGTGTCATTTACATAATTATAATTATAAAATAAATAATAATAGTGATGTATTATGTTTTATGTTTGTATTAAATATAAATGTATTTTTGTTTTATATTATTGATGACAATTATATTTGTTGTTTTCATTATTGTTATTTATGATAATGGTAATACAAATTATTATTATTGATAATAATAATAATAATAATAATAATGATATTATTAATATGATCTGTTGCTGTTATATTAATAACATTAACAACTCTTGTTGTTATGCAAACAAAACCTCTGCACATATTCTATTGCCTCTGTTAAAAAATATTTATATAAAGTATAAACAATTTATTTACTTTTTAAAATAATAATACTAAACTTCTGACATAACTAAGGCCATATGGGCACAGGAGCATAATCTCAACCAAGTGATAGTTTTCAGTCACGTGACCGGCTCGAAGACCTGGCGGCAAAACATCCAGAGAACTGCAGCACAAGACTGTGGATTTTCTGTCCGTTCCAATCCACAAATATGTAGATCATCCCTCAAAAAATTTGAACAAAGATACGTGAACAAAATGCAAGTTTTGGCCATTAGCAATCCATATAAAGCAGCTGTCGCAATATCTCAATCACTAAAAACAGCGGGACGTTCTAAAACGTTTCATGTGAAAACACTTTAAAACAGTGATAATAAAAGATCAGACCTTATTGATGATGCGTGCGTTATGCAGGCAAGCAAATGAGCTCGGAATATGAACGCAATGTGCTGAATGGTTAAGCATCTTCTTTATAATAGTGTTCTATGGGAAAACATTTAATATGAAACTTTATGCATTGCGTTTATATTCTGGGTTCATCTGCTTGCCTGTACAAAGTCTGCATCATCAATAAGGGGTGTACTGAATTTGGCCTTTAAACATCACTGTCTTACTACATTACTGCAGTCCTCACAGAAATGACTGGCGGTCAGCGGAGGAAAGCCTTGTTTTGCGCTCCATGTGAGCGTTCCTGTAAGAGCGTGACGTCACGTGAACACTATCAATTGTGTTATTGAAACCCTTTCATGATCCAGTCATTTCCCTTTGAAAATGCTTCACGATACGCCACATTAAAGAAGTGAAATCTGTTGTAAATGCTGTGTAATACTGTGTTTCTCGTGGCTCTGCAGTGGCCCTACGGTGATATCTGCGGCATCGCTCCGGTCGGGAAAGGCCAGGGAACCGAGTTCAACCTCACTTTCCGCAAGGGCAGCGGGAAGAAGTCCGAAACACTGAAGTTTTCCACTGAGCATCGCACAGAGCTGCTAACCGAAGCACTGGTGAGGAATACTGCTCTGTGATGACCTGCTGGGAAATGATGGAACATGCTTTATTAAAGGAGTCCTGTGTCTCGGGTCATTGCACATCTTCTCTCATTGGAGGATCTTCATCGGGTCATGACAGGCTTCATCACCGTGACCCAGACCGTCTCTTTAAAGCATGGTTTGGTCTGATGCTGTCTCTCTCTCTTCTCCACAGAGGTTCAGAACAGACTTCTCAGAGGGAAAAATCACTGGAAGAGTGAGTATTAAAAAAATCATATGATGTAGTTTAGCGATATCACACCAGCGAGAGTGCTGTTTCTCCACAATATCTGCACATTTACACAACAGTTCAATAAACATGTGCTACATTTTAGACACAATATTGTCTGTTTTGCTCAATCTTGCAAATGAAAGTAGTTCCAATCAAAGCCACAGCAGAGCTGTTGAGCGTCTCTGATCGACACACAGCGGTGATTCGTTTCTGAATGAATCCATAGGTTTAAATGAATCGAGTGAGTCAATGATTCAATGACTCACTCACTGCCACCTACTGGTGCTTTTAATTTCATATTTACAGTATAATGATTTCATATTTCAGTATTCATTTAAAAAAAAAAACATTAATACCCATTTATTATCATTATTTATGTAATATTGAATCAAAATTTCTTTCTAAAGCTGCTTTTTGTAATGGCCATACAATGCTTTTCTCATCTAACACAGGAATGACTTTAATTGACTTTTGAGTGTAATTTCTCACCACAAATTGATGTGCATAATATAAAAGTGCATAAATAATTTGTGATTAGATTAATGAGTAAGTCATGTAATTAAATAGATTAAACCTTTAATGGCCGTGGTCTTCTCGTTTTGAAGCTCTTGTTGAGTGAGTGTTGCATGTTTCCTCAGCGCTATAACTGCTTCAAGCATCACTGGAGCGACGCGCGGAGGAGCGTGTGTTTGGAGGTCACGCCGGGAGGCATCGATCAGATCGACCCTCAGAGCAACCGCGTGATCTGCTCGTACGACTACCGCTGCGTGGAGGGCTTCGCCGAGCTCTCCGACTATCAGGGAGGCTTCTGTGTGCTGTATGGAGGCTTCGGCAGACTGGTGTGTGTTCAGTCCTGATTCAGCACAGAGTGACCTGTGATTCACTCAGAACTCACCTCCTCTCTCTCACTCTCTCTCACTCCAGCATCTGTTTGCGTCCGAGCACCGTGACGAGATCATTCGCAGTGCGATCGAACACGCCGGGAGCTTCATCGGCATCACGCTGCGCCTGCGTAAGGAGCTTCTGAGCTTCGAGGGCTTCCTCGGCGAGCGTCTGGGGAAGTACGGTTCGGACGAGTGCATCACCTCACTGACCGAGTTCATCGTGCAGAAGATCACGCCGCGGCACACGGTAAGATCAGCTCTGCACCTGATGGGCTTTCTGGTGTGTGTGGGGTGGATCTGATGCATGCTCGTGGTTGTGTTGGTCTCAGGAGCCTGTGAGGAGGATCCTGGCGCTCACAGAGACGTGTCTGGTGGAGCGAGACCCTGCCTCTTACAACATCGTCACCCTCAAGCCCTTCGGAGAGGTCTGTCTGATCACAAGTGAATTCAGGAAACACATGGTCTGGTGAAACAACGCTACATTTAACATTTATAATTGTCAAATTAGAAGCTCACTAACAATAACAGTGTCATCTGCATACTTTAAAATAGTCCTGTTTCCCTCTTACTCTGACACGTGTGTGTGTAGAGAATCAATAATAGAGGAACAAACTTACTCAGACAGGGTGCTATGTACGCTTACTCTCTGAGTCCTGTTAGTTAAAACATCAAGAATCCAGCCTACAATATTGTTACTAAATTGTAAACTGTTCTAAAAGCCTTTCAGTTAGAACATAGGGTTGGATTGCATTAAAAGCAGATGAAAAATCAACAAATAAAAGCCTAGCATGAGACGAATTACCCTCCAAGTGTTTAGCAAGTGAATTCAATAACGTAACTGTGGCGTCCTCTACTCCTCTATGTGGTCCAGTGTATGTTCAGTTTTCCTTCATTTCTTCCCTTACCACTTTTTCAAGGGTTTTTATTAAAATTGATGTAAGAGCAACTGGTCTAAAACTGGTCTGAAATCATTAAGAGTATTGGGACTACACTCAGAAGTATGCTTTATATCTTACAGTTCTGACTCTTTTTCTGTCAAATTCGGAGATATAAACTAGCAATTCTGAGAACAAAGGTCTGAATTGTGAGAAATTGCAGTTGCAAGAAAAAAGTAACAATTGTGAGATAAAGAGATAAAATATATTTTTTTATTGTTTTATGTTTTGCAGAAACAGGCTTCCATAGTGAATAGCGATGAGCAATGCGTTTTGCGTCAGTAATCTGATGTATTTCAGAGCAGAACTGCTCATCCGATGAGAAACGTTGTTGGGCAGAAGTTATAGAATAGGGTTTGGATTGTGGAATAAGTGCAGGCTGCGTGTGATGCCACTTATTCTTTGGAATAGCATGAACTGATAATGGCATAATTTGACGTATATTTTGGCCACATATTTAAGTCAGATGAGAATTGCTTTAGAAATAAGACTATATATATGGAATATAGTGTTTATGTTTGTATAATCAGAATGTGTGTGCGTGTGCAGGTGTTCGCTCTCATCTGTGACGCAGACAATCCTCAGGTGTTCACCGTCGAGTTCATCCGCGGTCAGATACGCAAGTACTGCTCCACAGAAAGGTACAGCATCTCAGACGCTCCTGTGTGGTTCTGCTGGTTATATCAGAGTCTGACGATGTGTGTGTCTGCAGGGACTCTCTGCTGGCGAGTCTGCTGGACAGCGTGCGGGCGTCGGGGAACAGGGACGTGTGTGTGAAGATGGCCCCCACACACAGGGGCCAGCGCTGGGGCCTCCTCAGCATGCCTGTGGATGAGGAGGTGGAGAGCCTGCACCTGCGCTTCCTCGCTGCTCCTCCCAGTGCGTCCATTATCAGCTCCTCATGCTTCTCACATTAAACTCTGTGTTCTTCTATGATATGCTCAGTGATAGAATCTGATCTTCTTGTCCTCTGACTCCTGCAGGATCTTTCATGCTGTGGAGCAGGAGATTAGATTAGATTTCTAGTTCTCATAAATGTCCTGTTCTTTGCTCCGCCGGTCAATATGATGGTTTTTCAGCTAATATTAGTAAAAAAGCCTCTGCTGAGAGAGCAGCACAGAGAACTTAAACAAACCTTAGATCAAGTTCACACTGAATTTACCTCTTAATACAACATCTGTAGGAGTTAATAGTAGAAGGGCTGAGGAATGATAATCATCTTCTAACCATGATAATGTTTGTGTATATATGTGTATACTGTACCATTTAAAAGTTTGGGGTCAGTAAGATTTTTTTCCATTAATACTTTTATTCTTCAAGGATGCATTAAATTGCTCAAAAGTGACAGTAAAGACATTTATACTGTTACAAAAGATTTCTATTTCAAATAAATGCTGTTCTTCTGAACTTTCTGTTCATCTGTGAATCCTGAAAAATAAAATGTATCACAGTTTCCACAGAAATATTGTGCAGCGCAACTGTGTTCAACATTGATAATAATCAGAAATGTTTGTTGAGCAGCAAATCAGCATATTAGAATGATTTCTGAAGATCATGTGACACTGAAGACTGGAGTAATGATGCTGAAAATACAGCTGCGCATCACAGAAATACATTACAGTTTAACAGAGATTCACATAGAAAACAGCTGCTTTACACTGTAATAATATTTCACTGTTTTTACTGTATTTCTGATCAAATAAATGCAGCCTTGGTGAGCAGAAGAGACTTCATTCTGAAATATTACAAAAATCTTACCCCAAAAATGAAAGATACGATGCATCTATAGTTATTTAAAAAGTTTAAAAATGAAAACATACTAAAAACTAAAATAACTCATTTATATGAGTTTAAGTAATTTGTGGAGGTGTAAAGAATCCATTCAATAAAAAAGAAAATAATTTGTCAATTGGTTGTAAACTCGAGTAACTGTGTTCTGTTTGTTGTTCTTTCTTGTAGATTGTAATTTTGCAGATGCAGTGTTCAGATTTAACGGCAACATCTCTTACAGTGGAGTAATACACGCCGTCACTCAAGACGTGAGTCTGTCGACTGAGCTTCATTTCTGTGTGTTTGACTCCATATGACCTCCATCCCTCTACTCGTTCCTTTTCTAGGGTCTTTTCTCAGAGAACAAAGAGAAACTGATCAGCAATGCCATCCTGGCGCTCTTATCTCAAGATGTGGAGCTGCCGGGGCCCAACTCTGAGCTGGAGGCCCAGTTCCAGGCCCTCAGGCGTCTGGTGGCGTCCAAAGCCGGATTCCAGGCCTTCACACAGCTGCCAAAGTACAGGCCTCCATCCGAACACACAGCACAGATATTCAGCATTTATATCACGCTCAAATGTGCCTGAGATTAACGTGTTGAGCTCTGAGTGCGAGGCTCTGTGATTAACTCAGTCCTCCAGTTCACACTCACTGTTATTCTGCACTGTCCTTCTCTTGATCTGTTTGCTTGCTGAA